TTGAGGGTCATGTGATCTCTTAAAAAGAGCTACGTCACTGCGTGTTTTTCTCGTCGAGTATTGAGGTGGAATCTCACTGTTTGTAATACCTATCAATTTCCTCCATCATTTACCAAACTCCTTTCTTTCTATCATCATTGCGATGATATTATTTTCTTCTGTCAACAACTGACATTTCCATCAGAACTACAACACATATTAATATTGTACTCACATCTGCGCAAACAGAAGAGGACTCCAATAGTTGTAAGCTCGAAATAATCCCGCGTAAGGAGCTTCATACAGATAGAAGTTCGGATCCTGAGATTGACCTTGAACACGAGGCCTGGTTGCCTCACGTCCTAAAGACTAGAAACTAATAGACACATCATCATTTTGTAATCGCGCATGTGTAATATGCTTGGACGAAGACCAGGATACTGGATCGAGAGCATGAAGTCGAGGCGAACTGGGATTCCTCCCGAGAAAAACGGTTTAATGAATAAGAATCGGGAACAAAGAGTTTTCTCTCATGATTTGGCTTGCGTAGTGTTGCTTTTCTTTTTATAAGTTCACATTGGCCAGAAATGGTGGAACTAAGAAAATAATTCAATTCATTTGCCTCCTCTTATCATTTTACTCATGAAGTGTGCCAGTTGCAAGTTTTCCATATATCTATCGAACGTAGGCGATTACAGCCTTTCGTTTATCAGCATTACAACTCAGTCAATCAGATGTGGATCTCTGCACCTGTCTCAATTTTTCACCACTTTCACCAGTAATTCCACACGGTAACGTTAGAATAATAACTTGGGAAATTTAATGGTATTGTTAAAAAAAAAAAAATATATATATATATATATATATATAAGTGTACTCTTCTCTCATTGTAACTGTGGACCAATGCTTCATCTACTATTCAAAACATTTGCAAATGACAGCTATTTAAATGCCTTTTATGTGAGAAATGCAAAGTCATTTTGTTTCCTTTCAATTTTAAAAAAGCAAATGTATCTCATCCCAGTAATTACAAGGATCAATTGAGGCTATTAAAACCGTAGCCAAAATAAAAAGAATTGGGAACTGGAAGTAATTAAATAGATCTCTAACTTCGGATCACACGTCGAACTTTCTACGAATAAAAACCGGTTATAAAAAAGGTATTCTCTGGTAAAGGTGTCTACAATGTGTCTGGACATCTACATTTGAATTAAGTTATTCTTGATGAATGCACAGTTCTCAACTATTAAATTGAAAGTTGTTATCTTTTAGTTAAAACATACTTAAATTGTTCGTTCCGCGTGATTAAGACTCTCATGGCCATCTTCGAATATTGGGCATAAGTACACTGTGCTGGATGATACGAAGTTGCTTGGGAGTTAATCGAAAACAGCAAAATTCCCGAAACCAATATACTCAGCGGTTGATCATTTGAAATAATACCCATCTTCAAACAAATTGTCATTTCTTTATTGCACATATGCTGTGTTTGTTTACTGTAATGAGTTTGATGTATTTTGTGTATCTTTCATAGAACTGCACCTAACATATGGCGTCAAGAAATTACAATTTTCATATATTTAAAAACTATTTTGACTTTACAGTGACGGATAAACCTGCGGATGTCGTAACTGATTTGGTTCAAACAATTCAGATTGCGATTGGACTGAAAAAATAGTATGTATTCTGCACTCGTCTGTCTTACTTTCTCTTTCCTGCTGTAGAGAGGGTTTATGGACTTTGAATTGAGATACGAAGCAGATAACAGTAGTTAAAAAATTTAAGTTATTGTAAAAAAACAAACCGCTGATGCAATCCGTATAAAATAAAACCGTTCGCACTCTTAATTAATTTTCATTTATCAGTTTTGCTGTAGAATTTCATGTACGTTGAGAGTTCAGCGAAGACTTAATGAAATGTTTGACTTGTAATTAGCACAAATTTCCGGCTGCGTGTGATTTTTTAGTAATTTTAAAGTTTCTTTTTTAATTTATTAGTCAAATGAGCCATATACAGTCACCTGATTGGCTGATAAGAATTGCGTTAAATAAATCACCAGATAAGGCTTCATTCTTACGAATGACGGATTTGCCAGTCACGTCTGCCCTGGATGTCTCCTTCGCTGGTGTCTCGCGACAGGTTTGAAAGAAGATTACAAGATATTAGGCTGCACTTACGAAAGATCACGTTAAGTATGAAATTATCAACTGGCGCCACTCGACGCCTTCGTTAAGCGTTATCTAGACCGATCAGGAGTCACAAGTGGCGATATTACCTCAAAATATGGCCTTAATTGAGTCTTACCAGGTGATATATCTTAATATAGTTTTAACCATTTTTGAAACTCCGAAAACCGATTAACTTCCAGAATATATTTCTCTTGAAGAAAATCCTCGCCATTCATGTACATTTATCATTGATATGACCAGTTTGTCACAGGTGAATGACATTTTCTTTTTTCTTTTTTCCAGTCAACTGCAAAGTAAGCTCTCGACATATTTCCTTTGAGGAAGACGCAAATTTGTACTGAAACACATCTGCTTTGACATTTTAATCGAGGAACGCTCTGGCAGCCGGAAAAGACGTGTTTGAGAGGTTGAAATGGAGTAGAGGTCAGAGGCCGAATGTTTTTGGTTTTCGTGATGGTGATTTTTTTCCTAAAGGAAGACATGTGGTTTGAATAAATTGCAACAGATATGGAACAGGAAATGTAACCATATGACAAAAACTGGTTAGATTTCTTGTTCTACATCTGTTACAATCTTGTTAAGAATTGACAATGGCTAAGCATTATAACACTATTTATCCAAAGGTAAAATGTATGCATTTTGACTTTTAATTATAGAATTATCACAATTATTTTGAAGGTATATTTATTATCCTATTGAAAAATCAGGGTTAGAATCTGTAGCTGCAAAACAACGCGTCGATGGACAACCATTCAGGATAACCTTAAAATATGTCCCTCGAAATCAAATTCAATTGAAAAATGCTGGAAACTAAAGTAACATAGTTTGTCAGAAAAGCGCACTTTCCTTGCTGTAAAAGTGGTCAATATAAGGTGATCAAAAAGAGCGTGCGTAACTTTTTTTGAATTTGCCTTCTTTATTGCTGTTATTTATAATGTTCGATCATTACGATTATGATTATTATTTACACGTATAAAACTATTTGCCTTGCAAGCCTAGCTAAAACAATGCTGCCATGTCTTAAAACGCTAGCGTTATATATTTGTCTTTTATATCTTTACATTTTTACTGATACAACATAGTAATTATTGTTTCTGACTGAAAATAGCATTATTGACTATACTCGGTTACGTTAGATTACTAACTTCGCGACTTAACATAATTTAATTATTTACACACGTCTGTAAAGGTTACAATATGATGGAGACTGCGTATAGGAAAAA